ACCGGGAGTTAGAGTGGTAGAAAAGACGTCGTCGACAAGTACATGAGAAAGGAGAGAAAGAGGATAGAAAGTTAGAGAAAGACAGAGTGGTAAATAATGAGAAAGCAAAAGAGACAGAGAGAATGAGAAAGCAGATCTAGAACATTGTGGTTGAAAGGAAAGGAAAAAGAAGGTAGAAGGAGATATACGGTAGAGGGGAGGATAGTAAGGGCGAAAGGGGGAGGGTTAGGGGTTGAAAAAAGGTAACAGAGAAGCGATGAGTCTCTGGCCCTTTAAAGTGTTATCTTTGAAATAACGTTCCACGAAAGCGTTATTAAATTAAGTAAACCGCGAAAAAGTTTCTTTTCGTATAGCTAGATGCGTTACCGCTACCGCCTTGTACGCCAGGCGTTTCGTTCATGCCGGGGCTTGGAAAACCGGGGCTGCATCTCTCCTGGCACGATGCATATCCCAGTTATACGGGAATTAATACCCTACCGAGAGAGCGAACTCCTCCCTTTACTCTTCTCCTCGCCCTTTCCTATCTACCTTCTGGCTTTCCTCTGAGAGAACCACCATCACCGATCTCGTGGCCCTCCGCAAACGGGCTTCGTATAAAAGGGTTTCATTTCGCCATCGTAATAAGCGGAAACGGAAGCGGAGACTACAGAAAGAAAGAGAGAGAGAGAGAGAGAGAGAGAGAGAGGAAAGGATTCAAAACGAGGAATCGTGTGTGGTCATCGATTGGCTACTTCGTCAATTAACAAAATATATCGTATTTAATGTTTTATGTAAATTTTATTTTTGGATAATAAAAAAAAATCTTTACTTTATACTTCCTTCGAACAATAATTTATATGAACATTTAATAAATGTCTAATAATATGTAATCACAATGACATATGAACGTTACGTTTTATTAAAACTTTTTATCGATGTATTCGACAAATGTAACGCGCAAATATATATATATATATATATGTTGTCTTTTTGCTCATGTGTATTATTGGTAAATTAATAATTATAATTTTGAAAATAAACTTACATATAGCAAAAAAGAGATCCACATGACAAACATATTAACGTCGTCCCCTTTCAAATATAACGCTTCGAAATGGCCGTAGCATCAAACGAGAGACGCACAGTTATGAATTATAAATGCGTACCATAATGCGCATACCATGATGCAATTTTCCTCCTAAAACAAACTTCGGGTGTCGTGATGGAATTATAATTATACGTACGCAATATGGGTATGTACATAGTACGTGTAAGCAGAGTTTAGATCTCTACGTAAAGCAATTAATTATCTGCACAAAGCTGGGGAACCGTGTATTACATCAGAGAAACATTAATACTCGTTTTACTCTCGAGGGAAAACAAACAAACTAAAAAAAAAACAAAAAAAAAAAACAAAAACAAAAAAAAACAGAAAAAAAGAATAAAAAAGAAAAGAAAAGAAAAGAAAAGAAAAGAAAAGAAAAGAAAAGATATTAAATACATAATATACATACAAGTACGTATGTGAGTTGATCTTGAAAAGAGTTTTAAAGGAAAACAAAAAAAAAAGGAAACAAAAATGTAAATCAAGATATTATCTTCTCATCAAAAGAAATATTTATTTTACTATGACTTTTTAAGACGACATAAACAATATTTCTTTTTCGATTGACAATAATAAACGATGTTAATTAATTAGATGAAGAAACTTTAATTACTTCGTCGACGAGACGAACTAATTAAATCAATCAAGAAAATTGTATTCTCGTTAATAAAGACGAAAACGATCATTCTCGATTCCTCGGCTTTTCTCCAATTAACGATGATAGAAATCGAACAAAATTGTTTTACGCGTGTACTATAACGTTGACGCGATTGGAAATATAGATTTTTTTTCTCTCTTCTTTCTTTTTTTTTTCTTTTGTTTGTTTTTTAAATATTACATTCGTACAGGCGTATTGATGCTGTAAAATTTATAGACAATAAAGAAATAAGTAAAAGTGAAATTGAAACGATATTAATTTCAATTGGTAATAATACATTATACGTGTTTGCAATTAATATAAATTAAATTCAAAAATATAATAATAAAATTTAAACGCGACGATGGTATCCGGGTAAAATTTCGATTAATACGATAGGAATGAACTGAAAAATTTCATTATTGAAAATGACGTAACGATCGATCTTCCTAACAAAAAAATTTTTTGATGATACGTTCGTTTGAAAGTTTATCGATTCCGTGATTACCAAGCTTTCGATAGAAGTTTCTTAAGTTCCTGGCGAAAGAGGCTTTCGTTGTTGGGCTACGGCAAAAAGGATATGAAAGGTGACATTAAAGGATTATTAAAGACTGAAAAACAAAAGTTTTTTTCTTTTGTTTCTTCTTCTTCTTCTTTTTTTTTTTTTTGTTTTTTAGAGAAGCAACGATCGATCTCTCATCCTTGGAACAATTGTTTCTATTGACCAACTATCACGCGGTTGGTCTCCAGTGAATAATATCGACTTAACGAGCCGCGTT